GTTTTAATACTTTTGGGTCAGAACGGATTAATTGTATTTACATTTTTTTCTTATGGGAAAATTTTATTCGTAAAAACTAAATTTCGTTTTTAGAAAACCCCCGGAACGGATTTAAATTACAAAAAAAGAGGACCCTGTAATTTTAAAAAAAAAAGATAAATGTTGCCATCACAGGGGTCATTCAGTCCAACCTGCCTATAACTCGTAGGTACGACCCAAAAATTTTTTTTTTCTTATAACATGTAGAATAAGTGCCTTCAAATTTAAACCCCTTTCCGGGTCCAAGCCCAAACTGGAGTCACGCACCATGTCCAAGAAATTTAAAAAAAAAAAAATTGTTATTTTTTCTTAGAAAAAGTAGAGAATCTTTTTGTGAAAGGAAAAAACAAAAAGGAAAATTTGGGGAAAAGACGAAATTTTGCTCCGCGAATTTTATGTTCAGCGATATTTACGAAACGGGGATTTTTTCTGACTTTGACTCCCATTTTAGGGCCCAAATTACATTATTCCAATCAACCAAATTCTTAGCTATTTCACTAGTATTACTTCTATTCTATTGATTGAGCACAAGAAATCGCCAAGTCAACTGTTTCAACTACAAAATAAAGTGATCGGAAATTGTTAATTTGGCCAATTTAACACAAAGTTCAAAATATTCCAATTTCAAAATAGGGTCCAGAATAAACAATGTAGGCATTCCTGGCACTAAACTAACATTTCCTCTGTTCATTAGTTATGTTTTGAGGCTTTACAAATAAATTCCATTTTGATTTTTTATTCACATAATGAATTTTTATTCACACCAAAAAATAGAAGATTTACTGTTATGCAATACTGTAATAATTGTATAAATATCATCACCATATTTGTGAATGTATATTAGACCCACCAGCTGACGTGTATTAGACGTGTGAGGTCGTTTGTTTACTCTTGAATATTGGCAAAAATTTAACATTTCCGCTACTTTGAGCTCAGTTTCAAGCCATTTCCAGTGCTAAAACCAATCAAAATCATCTCTATTTCTGTAATATGTCTTCCATTCTATCAAATGAGACAAAGAAATCGCAAATACAACTATAAAAAACATACGAAAAAACACTGCAAAGTTGCTGTTTTAATCGAAAAATCATGATTTCAGTTTTTTTCTCTCATTATACACAGCGTGCTGCAGGATCTGTTTTATGTGGTGCACACATACCACATAGATGTATTCTCTCATATCTAGGCCCAAATGTACCACTCACAGTTTATCAGAGCGAGCTGAGCTCATGGCGTAGATCTACGGTTTGGACACTCACCGTAAAGCCGTAGATCTACGGGACGGACCCTGAAAGGGTTAAGAAAGAAAGAAAAAAAACTTTTTTTTTTTCCAAAATATTTGGAGCACTGGGTGAGAAAACATACATCTACATTTGGACAGTTTAAGGGTTAAAGGTTTTTACTAGGTCTGCTTCAATTATTACCCAAGAAATTGGTAAAACTTATGTTTTTTGTGTGATGATGGATTCAAAATGGAGGGAATTATATAGATAAAATGAAAAAGATTCTCTACCATTTCAAAAGTTTTTCTTTTTTTAATTGTCACAGTCAAGAGCTATTAGTCCCTTTGGTGTCGGCCCCATAAAATTACAGCTTTGGTGGGTACTGGACAATGACAGGTGGTTGTGGTTGTGGAGGTTGTGGTTGTGGAGGCTGGTGTGGTGGGTGAGTGGGGGATGGTGGCCTTTGTTCTAGATCAGCTGAGGCAGCGGCGTGGGTGGAAGCATGGGTGGCAGCATGGCCCACTGCTGGTGCCTCACCGCCGGCACCACTACCACCACGCACATTTTCCATCCCAATTGCAACAGTATCTTCGTCATTTCCACTGTCTGTTCCTGTTGTACAGCCACGGGATGTAGTCCGAGATACACTCCTTCCCCTTGGTATAACATATGGCACACTACCAGAGCGCATATATCGTCATATATACTGACGCTTCACTGGGGAATATTGCACTTCACTATCACTACTGGAACTAGTTTGAAGAGCTTGTAGTTCATATTCACTATCACTATCATCACCCATGCTCTCATCTGAGTCTGGGATTTGGGAAAATAGAAGTTTCCTCTTGGGTTCTGGAACAACTGAACGTGAACAAGAGGGCCCAGCACCAGAGGTGGAAGGCTGAGGGTCGCCTGGGTTTTCCTCACTATTACCGATATTATGGTCATTAGTTTCGGTCAAAACCTCACTAAAACCACGAAACTCATCTTCACTGGCACTTCCATCACTATTAGAACTGTCACTGGGGAACAAAAGTGTCCCAATTCGCCGAGGAGTGAGGACCTTCTTACCGCGAGGCATGGTGGACATTGTTTACTAAGAGGGCATTCCCACAATGCACCACTGGGTCCCAGATTTTTTTTCTACCGCGCAAACCGACCACGCAGACCCATTCTCTCACACCTAGGCCTACCAGCCTTTTCGCGCGAGATTTGAGGCCGCTAGAATTTATGCGTACTAGTACGTCAAAAACCCCTACGCGTAAGACGTACTAGTACGACCAAAACCCTCAAAGGGTTAATAGAATGGAAGACATATTACAGAAATAGAGGCAATTTTGAATGGTTTGCTGACTAAAAGTAGCTTGAAATTGAGCTCAAAGTTGCAGAAATGTTATATTTTGGACAATGTTCAAGAATAAACAAATCACATCATGCATCCAATACACATCAACTGGTGGGTCTACAGTGCTAGTCATGGCGTTATGCCAGGTGAGCACCCCGGTATAATGCAGTGACGAAAATCAAAGGCCTACCAAACAGGTGGGTTTTTTTCGTCAGTGCATTATGCCGAGTAGCAGCCGTTAGCGTGACGTCACGACCTGCCACCACACTCCACAGTTACTCCTCAGTGTTCATGTGGCTGCTGTGGTGAGAGGAAGTGTTGCACTTTGTTTCTCATCCACCCCATCTTTTGTCCAGTGTTCCCTTTGGTTTTGGGGCTATACATGTTTGATTATGGGTAAAAGGAAGTCTTTAACACTTGAAACTATAGCTGAAATCATAGGGCTTCACAAAGCTGGGCATCAGACAAAAGAAATAATGGAGAATGTTGGCGTGTGTGAGGGTTCAGTGAGGAAATGAGTGCAGAGTTTCAAGGTTGATGGTGTTGAGTAACTGTCTGCCAAACCTCAGCTTGGCCCCTTGAAGAAGACATTTGTTCGTACCTTAACTGTGTTAAAGAAGCAGTTAGAGAGTGCACCTAAGATAACTGCTAGATAATTGAAAGAAAAGAACCCACATCTTCTCTCAGAGGTGTCTGTAAGAACTGTTAACAGACATGTGTCAGAACTGGGCTACAGTAGTCACCGCCAGGTTAAGCCAATCCTCTCCAAACCACAGAAGAAACGTAGGTTGGATTATACGAAGAAATATCTTTACTGGAATCCTCAACAGTGGTCTGAAGTACTTTGCAGTGATGAAGCAACCTTCACCATCACCTGTAACCATGGGGGACATGTGTACAGGCCCAGAAGTAGTAACCCGCTAGACCCACGCTACACCTGTGGAACCACCAAGCACCCAGACTCACTCATGGTTTGGGAGTGTTTCAGTGCTCAGAGTGTTGGTGAACCCATTGTGCTTCCCAAAAACCAGTACATGAACCAGTATAATTACCTGGAGTTATTGTGTGAATTCACCCGAGGCATTTGACAAGTGTGGGGCTGTGGTTTTTATGCAGGACGGTGCACCATGTCATACCACCAAATCTGAAGTTCAGTGGCTTAAGGACTGTGAAGTGAGGTTCCTTAATGACTGGCCAAGCAATTCCCCAGACCTAAACCCTATTGAGAACTTCTGGTCATTAGTGAAACGAAGTTTACTGGGCAAGGATATCAGTTCCATCCCGTTGCTGGAGGCTGCTCTACATAAGGCATGGAGTAACATGCCTCCCCAAACCCTCAAGAATTTGCGAGAGTGTCTTCCTACATGGCTGAGGGACATGATTAAGTGTAAAGGACGCAGAACCAAGTATTAAAACCTCAGTGTGTAAATATATATAGTATAATCTTTCATAGTACAGTGTGTGTTTGTATTTTGGTATGTGTGTGAGGGAGTGCTGGCATAATGCCATGACTAGCACTGTAATATGCATTCATGAATGCACTATTATTTATACAATTATTACAATTGTGAATAACAGTAAATTATCTATTTTTTGTGTGAATAAAAAATTCAAAATAAAATGCAAGCATAATATAAGAGGGGCCTGGAGACATGACTAATGAACAGAAAAAAAAAAAAATTATTTTAGTGCTGCCAGGAATGTCTGCACTGTTTATTCTGGCCCCTATTTTGAAACTAGCCTTTCTTGAATTTTGCGCAAATTGGCCAGAGGGTTAATTTTGGGGGTCGTGGCAGTGAAAAAGTTATACATGTATATTCAAGAATTACCACATGAAGATGACAGTAGTAAATGCCTTGATATTGTGATAGAAATACTCAAACATTTACACAATCAGTTCTAATAGCCTCATAGCCTGGTTGGAGGTAAGATTTCTGTAGATAGCCTAATCAACCACACTTTTATTATCCATAGACTTACATAGCAATCATAACCTGGCTGATCTAACACAAGAGAATTGATCAGGGGATAGTAGTGCTACAGTCACTGGAAATTACTACATTGCGTGTATATAAAATTGAGACTATGGACACTGATGCGAGGACAGAACAAACTGGAACAACCAGGCTGCTGAAAATGTGAATTAAAATACAAATATTAAGTAGATTCAAGGAAGAGAATAAGCTTGTGCTGGAACATCTGCAATTATCACTTCACCATCATGACCATGGAGTGGTACTCTATTTTCAAATTTACTAAAAATAAATCAACAGTACAGCAAGAGATGCTATCTTTCATACAAACTTATGGAGATGTCTCTAATCATTGCAGTATTCACATACAAAATTTGGTACTGTAATTCATTAAAAGTACTTTTCAAGTGTAGTTCTTACCTTTAGCTTCTATTTCTCTTTGTAATAAACTTTCCATTTCATCTGAATCTGCTATATCAATGGCTAGGTCACCATCATTGTTAACTAAGGAGAGATCAGCTCCCCGATCTATTAGGAACCTGCAACATAAAAAAATCTGATCAGAAAAACAATATCTGCAAGGGTATGTGTGCATTTGTGTATATATACAGTTTATAAATTACCAGTGCAATACGTCTTGCTTATTCATGGTATGAGAGATTCAAACCCACGGCAAACCAGTCTTAAACTTGGCAGGCAAGTACATTAACCACTGTACCAAGCTAGCCTACAAATAAAGTGGTACCTTGACTTACGAATTTAATTCGTTCCATGACCAAGCTTGTAACTCAATTTGCTCGTATATCAAATAAATTTTTCTCACTGAAATTAACTGGAATGTCATTAATCCGTTCCGGTCCCTAAAAAACCCACCCCAGGGGCAGAAGAATTTTTTTTTTTTTATTATCACACTGGCCGATTCCCACCAAGGCAGGGTGGCCCGAAAAAGAAAAACTTTCACCATCATTCACTCCATCACTGTCTTGCTAGAAGGGTGCTTTACACTACAGTTTTTAAACTGCAACATTAACACCCCTCCTTCAGAGTGCAGGCACTGTACTTCCCATCTCCAGGACTCAAGTCCGGCCTGCCGGTTTCCCTGAATCCCTTCATAAATGTTACTTTGCTCACACTCCAACAGCACGTCAAGTATTAAAAACCATTTGTCTCCATTCACTCCTATCAAACACGCTCACGCATGCGTAGTAGGTTGGTAGACAGCAACCACCCAGGGAAGTACTACCGTCCTGCCAGATGACTGTGAAACAAAAACCTGTAACTGTTTTGCATGATGGTAGGATTGCTGGTTTCTTTTTCTGTCTCATAAACACGCTAGATAACAGGGATATCTTGCTACTCCTACTTACACTTTGGTCACACTTCACAGACACGCACATGCATATATATATATACATACATCTAGGTTTTTCTCCTTTTTCTAAATAGCTCTTCTTCTTCTTTATTTCTTCTATTGTCCATGGGGAAGTGGAAAAGAATCTTTCCTCCGTAAGCCATGCGTGTCGTATGAGGCGACTAAAATGCCGGGAGCAATGGGCTAGTAACCCCTTCTCCTGTAGACATTTACTAAAAAAGAGCAGAAGAAAATACTTCAATATAATGCTAATATCAACTCTATGGCTTATCTATCAGAATTTATTTAATATGACATAAAAAACACTAAGTAACATAGAAACATGATATATACTCTAGAATGAACAAAATGGCCATAATATGGCGAGTGTCCAGGACCAGTCCGAGCATATAAAATTATTACCACTCCTTCCTATAATGTGTTCTTTGGTCCTGGGTAAGAGAAAACAGAGTTTTTGAGAAGCTAACTGCACAAGATCACCAGTGCAGTGATATATGAATATCTCGAAAGTAAGTTGTTGACTTATTTCATGAAGCCCACCATTTATTATTCAAGTAAATGCAATAATATTGACAGGAGTCATAAAAAAATTATTGTTCTACAATTGGCTTGTGGAATATTGGAAATACATGTAGTATTCTAGATACAGTAGAACCCCGCCTTACGATATTAATCCATTCCTGAGAGCTCATCGTAAGCCGAAATTATCGTTAGCCGAATTAATTTTTCCCATACAAAATAATGGAAATCAAATTAATCTGTTCCTGACACCCCAAAGTATGAAAAAAAAATTTTACCACATGAAATATTAATTTTAATACACACAAACTGAAGAAGACATGCACAGTTACTACTCTACTAAGAAAAGAATACATGACACTTACCTTTATTGAAGATCTGGTAATGATTGATGGGATGCCTTATCACACTATGTATGCCACTATGATTCTCATATCTCTCAAACCAACATTTGCTGGCCTTAAATTCACTCACATCACCATTAGTTGCAGGCATTTTTCTAATTAAATCATCATGCAACTTCCTAGCCTTTTCACACATGATCGCTTGAGAGATGCTATCTCCTGCTATCTGTTTTTTACTTATCCACACCAATAACAGTCTCTCAACATCATTTATCACTTGCGATCTCTGTTTCGAAAACAAACTTGCCCCTTTTGCAAGAACAGCCTCCTTGATTGCCGTTTTGTTGGCCAAGATAGTAGCGATGGTTGATTGGGGTTTGGCATACAACCTGGCCAGCTCCGAGACACGCACTCCACTTTCGTACTTAGCAATTATCTCTTTCTTCATTTCCATAGTAATTTTCACCCTTTTTACCAAAGAGTTGGCACTAGAAGCTTTCTTGGGGCCCATGGTGACTTATTTTGCAGTTACAAGCACTAAAAACACTGTGATAATATGAAATGTACCGAATGTATGCTTAGATGCGACCACACTGGCTGGCTTGTAAACACTGGCACCCACGGGGCAGCTGAGGCCACACTTGGGACACGTCCCGGACGAATCATGTAAGGCGAGTTTTTTATCATGAGGCAAGGAAATTTTTTTTATGTTCAAATGCTTCATATGGCGGATTTAACGTAACGCGATGCGTTCACAAGGCAGGGGTCCAATGTATTTTGGAATCTGTGTGGAAGTAAACAGCAAGATATTTTATATGATTACCTCCAGTGAGAACATCGCAGTAGCATTGTTTTATAAGTACCCAGTCCCAAAACCACCTTTCGTTGTGCCTTTTAGGCCAAAGTTCTTGTCGAATGCCATTTTCAGAAAAAAATTTTTTCGCTCATAATTCGGATTTTGGCTCGCAACTCAAAGCAAAATATCGACACCAAGAGACGGCACATAACCCAGAAAACTCATAAGTTGCGGCATTCATAAGTCTAAGTACCACTGTATTTGCCCAACTAGGTTAACAGGTATTTCTACATAAATAAGGAAAATATGCATGGGCCTACAGTAAAAACCTGCATTTGCAATCACAGTGGAGCCCATGTTAACCTTTCTTAGGTGTACAGAAATACACCTAATTGGGTGAATCATCACAGGAGCACAATGAGTACACCAAGGTAATGTACAAGAGTATAGTACTGTATGAACCTACACTTTTATACAAGTATGTAGTATGGCCTTTCAACACTACAGCAAAGGAGAAGTTACAGGCAATGCATATATCATGACTGAAGAGAAGTGTGTGTGGTGTAAAACACTACTCACTCCATCACTGTCTTGCCAGAGGGGTGCAGATACTACAGTTCAAAAACTGCAACATATCTCTACCCCTCTTTCAGATTGCAGGCACTGTACTTTTTACATTCAGAACTCAAGTCTAGCTAAATGGTTTCCCTGAATCCCTTCATAAATATTACATTGCTCACACTACAACAGCTCTAGTGGCCTGGTGGTTAAAGTTCTCACTTCACACGGCAAGGGCCTGGGTTCAATTCCCAACCAGAGTAGAAATACTGGGCGTGTTTCTTTCCACCTGTTGTCTATGTTCCCCATCAGTAAAATGGGTACCTGGGTGTTAGTCAACTGGTGTGGGTTGCATCCTGGGACACTGACCTAATTTGCCCGAAATGTTCAGCATAACAAGGGGCGTTCTATATAATAGCATGTCATTGATGTCAGCTAGGTCAGCTTGTACATGCAGTAATTATTATTTTTTTTTTATTATTACACTGGCCGATTCCCACCAAGGCAGGGTGGCCCGAAAAAGAAAACCTTTCACCATCATTCACTCCATCACTGTCTTGCCAGAAGGGTGCTTTACACTACAGTTTTTAAACTGCAACATTAACACCCCTCCTACAGAGTGCAGGCACTGTACTTCTCATCTCCAGGACTCAAGTCCAGCCTGCCGGTTTCCCTGAACCCCTTCATAAATGTTACTTCGATCACACTCCAACAGCACGTCAAGTATTAAAAACCATTTGTCTCCATTCACTCCTATCAAACACGCTCACGCATGTGATGAATGGTTTGAAAAACCGACAAGTTGAAGATTGAGACACTTATGCAGCATATGGGAATCTTTATTCAGGAAACGTTTCGCCACACAGTGGCTTCATCAGTCCAATACAAAGAGGAAGGCGTAAGGAGAGGAGGAGTATAAGGTAATCAGTCCCTCAGCCTGGAGTCGATGTGTTCAGTCCATCAATCTTGTAGAATGTACAGCATAGGGCCGTAGACGTGGCTTATATACTGTAGTGAGGTGAGGTGAAGCAGGCAGAGGCGGGGTCATAGTGGTACCATCCACTAGTCGAAGTAGGTTTTCGGTTTTTCAAACCATTCATCACAACTGTCAGACACTGCAGCATCATGGGATCTTGTTACAAAGAATTCTTCAACACTTGCTCAACCTTTGGACGAAAACCTACTTCGACTAGTAGATGGTACCACTATGACCCCGCCTCCGCCTGCTTCACCTCACCTCACTACAGTATATAAGCCACGTCTACGGCCCTATGCTGTACATTCTACAAGATTGATGGACTGAACACATCGACTCCAGGCTGAGGGACTGATTACCTCATACTCCTCCTCTCCTTACGCCTTCCTCTTTGTATTGGACTGATGAAGCCACTGTGTGGTGAAACGTTTCCTGAATAATGATTCCCATATGCTGCGTAAGTGTCTCAACGCTCACGCATGCCTGCTGGAAGTCCAAGCCCCTCGCACACAAAACCTCCTTTACCCCCTCCCTCCAACCTTTCCTAGGCCGACCCCTACCTCGCCTTCCTTCCACTACAGACTGATACACTCTTGAAGTCACTCTGTTTCGCTCCATTCTCTCTACATGTCCGAACCACCTCAACAACTCTTCCTCAGCCCTCTGGACAACAGTTTTGGTAATCCCGCACCTCCTCCTAACTTCCAAACTACGAATTCTCTGCATTATATTCACACCACACATTGCCCTCAGACATGACATCTCCACTGCCTCCAGCCTTCTCCTCGCTGCAACATTCATCACCCATGCTTCACACCCATATAAGAGCGTTGGTAAAACTATACTCTCATACATTCCCCTCTTTGCCTCCAAGGACAAAGTTCTTTGTCTCCACAGACTCCTAAGTGCACCACTCACCCTTTTCCCCTCATCAATTCTATGATTCACCTCATCTTTCATAGACCCATCCGCTG